GGAAAACGTACATTGAGGGCACTCTGAGAGAGAAAGACAAACTATATAAATAGACCTCATCAGCATTTTGGTCCAGTAATTAGTGATCAGTGATCATTAGATGTTACTCAAAGTTTAAACTCCAGACATTCCAGGTGCTTAATTTGGTGCATATTGCTGTTTTGCTTTCTGTCAGTACAAAAAGGCTTGCTTTGGTATTAATGTGGAGCCATTGGGATATGTCATGTGCTGCCAGTCGTTTGGAGAGATTTGGCATCCCTGTCACTCAAAAATAATGGACGACATAGCCAGCAGCAATGCAGCTGTGAGGGACTAGATGTTATTATTTCTCAGCATAATGGAAATACACAGTAAAAAAAGAAGAAAAAAAAGAAAAAGAAAAAAAAGATCACATTTGCATAGTTTTGCCTTTGAACTAAACTCTTAAAGGGAGTTTCCTCCAATGACAAGGAAAGATTAGGGAAAAAAATGGCATAAATATGTTTGCTTCTTCCTCAAGGCTATTAAAAGCACAAGTGGCGGCTATGGTGGTAATATGTCCCAGTTCCCTGCAGGGCTCTCAGCACCATCACTCTTATCTGATCCCCAATGAAACTGTTTACCCATTAATTTTCCCTTCATTTAATTGGCAGATGGTTGAGTCCCCCCAACCGTCTCCTGCCTCTTCTCAGATCGCCTGCAGCTTTATTCGTCCCACCACAGTGGGCCTTCATCTCAAGCGGCTCATTCATTTCACTTTGATGTCAATTCAAGTTGTGAACTTGATGCTTTTGCTCTTTATTTCACATTTTGCTCCTTAAGTGATGGTCGAATCTGGAGATAATTCTAAAAAGATCTCTTTAGGAGAACTTGAACATAATTGTATAGATGAGCTAGTTGCAGATATATTGTACTGCCAAGAGCTCAGGTGTCTAAAGACTTTCTGGGCTGCAGAAAAGTGAATTTCCATGCAGCATGACATTCAAGTAGTTTATAGTCTAGTATCTGGTTCCTGTGTACACTGCATTTTGTGGGTTTAGCACTGAGAATGCGAGCCTCCAATCATGGTAAATAATATCTGTATGTAATGCGTGATTTTAGGGTCACCAATTCTATTCTTTATTTTAAATTCCAAGCCTTAACCATACTGTATACTTGAAGGTTTATCCAGTTTTACACCTCAAAAAGTCATATATAAAAGTAATTCAAATTTTAACTGATGACTTGCATTACTCTTGTTTCATCCTTGTAGAAACTGCTTTAAAGTTTGTTTAAGGTGAAGATATCGAGAAGATGTAGAAGGTTAATCTATCCTTTTGAGGAAGTCATTCCTTTATAACGCAGAATCCATCTACCCGAGCTCCAATCGGATTCCCCTAAAGAGGGACCTGAGGATTGAAGTCATGTGAAGAGGTGAGTCTACAGCTCCGTTAAATAAGACTGGAAGGAAAGTTGAGGTTGACAGAAGAAATGTGAAAAAAACAAGGCTATTGGGAGACTGTCATTTGACAAGAATTTATGGATGTTGCAAAAGAATGAATGAATAAGAACTGTGGCAACTGCTGCAGAAAAACCTGGGGGGAAATTATTGCTGTCACATTCATGTTTTATAAAGTCACCTTATGTCAAAATGACAGAACTCCAATGTGAAAATAATAATATTTAAAAAGCATAATTTTGGTGAAATGGAAAAATACCCCACACATATCAAATACCAGTCTGGGAGGTTACATTTCATTTCCCAACTAGATAGCAGATGCATATTTGAATCTGTAATAATATGTCAAATCATTTGGTATCTATTCATCTGAATTTTGAATAAGAGACTAACTTAATGGAAAATGTGGTAAAAGGAAAGTGTCGTAGATGGCGGGAAAAGGCCACAGCTGTCTGTCATTTCCAGAAATCAGACACTTTTTGATTATAGAGAGAAAAATATTTTTAGACAGAAACTTAAGTGCCTGGCCCTTGTTTAAAATGTAAAATATTTAGTCCTTATTACTAACTCAACATATGTGAGTAATTTTGGGAAATATTTGTTTCACAGGCTTCAGCTGCTGTAGATTTGACTAAACTAGAAATATCTTTCAGGCTTTGTATGTTTTTAAGCAGTGAAAAGTAGTTTGCTGAAAAGTCCTAAATTTCTCCCATTTGGGTAAAGGGTTACTTTCCAACACAGCTGAATGCTCTCTGCCAGATCGACGAAAAGTTCTCTTGAGAACCGAAATAATTTGCTCGGAGTACCTGCTTGCGGATGATTACAGCCGCAAAAGCTGTGTGACGATGTGTATCGTGTTGTCTAAACGGCACAAAAGTGATAAACAATGTTGCAGAAGGTCATGTTAGGAGGTGTGGGAGCACAGCGCGAATGCAGAGGGGTGGAGAGATTGAGTGTTCTGTGGAAAAGCCATCAACAGTTACTACCTCACTCACCCCTCCCATTTTCAGCCCACTGCACTCTTTAGTAGAATTATTGATGGTGCTTGTGAGGTACAGAGTACTTGGCTGAAGATGTCTCAATTCCCAGGCTGCAAAACAAGAGCTATGGCAGAGGGTGTGGCAGCAGAAAGGACAACACATGCAGTATTTATTGCTGGATACAATGTGAGGGATAGGGAAATGAAAAATAGAAGTAGAGTGCAATAATACAGTGCTGCTATTTTTTTTTAGAATGTAAGAAATTTTGCAACAATTCAACATGTAAAATAAAGGATTCAATTGTTAGATAGCAGCATATATGTAGGCAGTGTGCATGACATTCTTTAATTTTGTATATCTTTTAGCTGCAAATCGTTGTATTTGCAGGCATGAGTGAAGCACAGAATTGTGAGGTGGTTCATTTGAAAGTGTGGAAAGTGTGCAACATGGGAGTCCAACTAATGATGTGCCACTTAAAAGTCACCTAACAAGTTCCATCATCCAAAGGTCATGGGAACATGGTGCTTGTTTCGTTTCCCGCTGTGAAACAAGGATGTTTCTGGTAATAGTGACAAATAGATAGTCATTATCTATGGAGGATCCTAAACTTTCCTAAAAAAATATACATTTCACGGCTCTAGGAACATCACTAATTGTTTAGAGGCTACACTGGGACAGGCCAAGCTTAACCCTCATCCTACAGATCTGATCATAAACACTCTCCATTGGGGCTCTGAAGGCACACCTGCATGTTATAGCTTTGTGTTACCACTGGGGGTGTTGTTTACCCACGCTGAAAAGCTTTTGATAAATGTAGGGCATCAACTCCAGAACCTGTGCATCACCTCTTGGTGGGCTGCATGTCTGTGCAGATCCATTAATCTTACAGGGGCTTTTTTCTGCTGATACAGCTAAATGCAATCACAACCCAGTCAAGGACACTTTCTAAAACTAAACATGAGAAAAACTAAAAATACTAAGGAATAACAAAACGAAACCATAATGGAATAAACATGAGAAAACTAAAAATACTAAGCAATAACAAAACTAAACCATAATGGAGTAGATCAATGAAAGCTGGTGGATACAACTAACAACAAATGGCACAGCTGATGAGGAACTGAGAAAGAACCAGAGACAAACTGTACAGAGGTTAGTGATTAGTGGGGGGAGGCAGCTGAGGGTGATGAACAGAAACTAGAAGAGAGCAACAGGGAACAAACTAAGAGCACATAAACAAGACAAATTTCAATTAATAAAGACACTAAACACCGAACTACAGTGATAACTCTAATTGAAAACTACAAACTTAATCCAAAACCACAAACCAAATCCACAATAATCTAGAATTTATGACATTATCAATGTGTGATGGGAGATCTGAAAAGTCCTCTTAATCACCCATGAAAAACCTTATTAAATAGGTGGTTTTGAAAAAAAGTATTCCATCAATATACCTGATCAAGGAAAGGATTGTCTGCAAAGTAATTATCCAGATAAATAATGAAAAATTACCCACATTATAATGATACACACTTTTTCTGAATATCATTTACATCTACATTCACTGTAGAAGTAACCTCTTATCTTTTTTACTTCATTGTAATGAAGAGAAGCATCAGATAACCAGTAAATTTGATTTCAAATGCTTGTAATGCCCTCTACAGGTGCAATAACAAGACCTCCCAACATGAACCAACCATTGCCTCGTGTTTCATACATTGAATTTTTTTAGTTTTAACTGATAATCTTATATATAAGACCACCACTAACCAACACACCCTATATTGAGTAAGTGGGCAGATATGGAAACTAACAGCTAACCACCATACCACCATGCATCCCCATTTGACATCCTGACATGCACATGCAACACCACGATGATGACAGCTAACCTCACGGATAAAACTTTCTTTTATAACAAAATTGTAATAAAATGTCATTTAAAGACTCACATGGCATTGATAAAAACTGCACGAAGAACATGACTGCTAAATGTTAGGCTGCAGGTACCTTCTTTAGGATTAACTACCAGTATTTCTCATGTACAGTCAGAAAAATCTATTTTTGTCACCGCTATATTTCTGACTTTGTTTCAGTTTTTCACAAAATCATTGTAAGTTTTATAAATAAAAAATCATTTTGCAATGAGGAATGAGCAGAGAAAAGACAGTCTGATTCAAGTCAGCAGATTGGATACACCACCCATTTACACTACACATAGTTAGTCATATTCTTGCTAAATACCATGCTTCAGAATAGGTCTTTGAACTTGGAAAATGTGATTGTGAAAGAGATGAGTTTATTTTTGGTGCTTTTCTATACACTCATAGCTCATCATATTTCAGTTTTCACTTACAGTAAAAAATTGCAACGCAAACTACTTGGAGATTAAATTTGAAACAAAAAAAAAAGTCCTTAATACAAAAAGGGATGTGTAGCAAAGTTTTGCCATCAAGGAAGTAAAAAATAAAAGTTTTATTTCAAAGTGAGTGCGGCTAAAGCTGGAGCTTATTTCCTGTAAACTGACTGCACCTCAATGTGCACGCTGTAATATTTCTTGCTTGAGTATTTCAAAGCTACTTCTTAAAATACAAAACAATGAACTCTGCAGATTTCCACCAGACTTTTTCTGCAACTAATAATAGACAACAGGAAGCTGGTTGACCAGCCATCACTGTCACACACCCAACGACTCAACTTCCTGCTTGTAACTCATTGTGAGGTGGTGGTTTTGACAGAAGCGTAAAAGGCAATAAAGACATAAAGAAATAGACGGAGAGATACAGACACAGACAGATCTGTTCGCAAATTAGAGAGAAACTAAAAAGTTGTCGTTGCTAGCAGAGAGCCCGCTGATGGAGCCACAGGAGATCAGAGAGGGATACTTGGTGAAAAAGGTAAGACCACTTGAAGAAAATACACTATTCATTTCAATTTTCGCATTTGATTAAACTCCTTGACAAGCTTCCTTTGATATGCTCACTGTTATGTCATCACAAGACACATCTGGTTTTGATATAACACACTCTTTGTGCATTGCTGTGAAAGAAATTGAATAGGTTTAAATGAGAGTAACTCTTTAAGACATTTTTATCAAAAACTAGACATCGTTGTAATAGAGAAAGACAGACATTCAAAATACTAAGTGGATAAGTATGAACCAATGATTGGGACTAATTTAAATGACATAGACAGCTTTATTCCAGACTGAGCCAATTTAAAGACAGGAACAGATGCAGCTGTCAGGCGAAAGCTGCAAAACGCTACGTGAACACATACTTCTGTTATGTAATTGGTAGAGTTCCTTCTTCTGTCAAGCATGAAACAAGACTGGAAATATCTTCTTCTTGTTTCATTCTGAATGATTATTCAGATGGAAAACTGAAGAATTACACTGAGATAAAACCTGAGCTATATGTAAATATACTGGGAATTCAAAAGAAAATACACTTTGAAAAAAAGGAACAACAAACACAACCACAATTATCTGACATTCATCCATCCATCCATTTTCTGAATCATCCATCTATCCATCCATTATTGTAACCGCTTATTCCCTAATGGGGTTGTGGGGGGAATTTGACATTCACTAGAACTTTAGACTGTTGTGTGTTAAATTGTCAGATTCCTTTTTTCTTTAACAATGCAGTGTGCCTTTAGCTCTGAGTAACTGCTTTAACATGTTCCCTTTATGTCTCTAGCTAAAGTTTTAGTAGATTTATATTCTGACAAAGAGCTACAACCCAAAAGTTAAGGGTGGCTTGAGTCATCACACATTCACAGTTATGGAAAATTTGGGGCGTAACAGGTGGGTAACATGCAAAGAGCAGTTTAACTGCTGAATCTTTGACATTTCAAGGTGCATCCACAGTAGATTATATTGAGAAATTAAATTAAAGCAAATCGCCAGGTCAAGCTTATAAAAACATGATCACCTTGCTGATCATAATGAATGAATGATCACTACAAAAATGCGTGTATAATTTAGTCAGACGAATATAAAAACAGCAAGATAAGAGGGTGAAAATGTGAATATCAAAAGGTTTTTGTCTTTTCATGTGTTTTATTAAGAAGAAAATCGTCAGTCAGTTTTTTAACCTTGAAGATATGAATTCAGGTTTGCTGAGGAAAGGTGATGACCTATTTGTGAAATTCCCTTTTTCATGTTTAGATAAGGATCATTGTACTATCATTTAAAATGTGCACTTTTCAGCTCTAGCACCTGCTCCCTAGAGGAATGCATAAAGCAGAGGAAACTGTAAACTCAACTGTACAAAATAATTTTCGCAAACCAATAATCAATAAATTGGAAAAATTCCTAAATTAATCCAATCCCTGCCAGAAAACGATGGCCAAGCCCAACTCTCATCTGACCAGAGCAACAGGTCAATTTCTGTAAAAACTGAACACAAAACCCTTGGCCCGACAAGATCTTCACATTTCAGTTATTGACCATTAGTTTGTACACCATGGCACCAAAGTTAGGAAGGAAAGTAAAAGAGAAACCAAAAACCCCTACAGAGATTTCCCATTGACATGTCCTCAAGTGAACAAAATCCAAAGTCTAAATTTTTACTTTACACTTGAGTGACTTCATGTAAACAGACAACTGGATGATTGATTAAAAAAACACTCTAAATTGAAATACTTTTGTTAGAACTGGAAAAAGAAAGGGTGAAATGAATGGCAATGTCAGTAATGTCAAAGGAATGCTAAAATGGGCATATAAAGCAAGGTGGTAATTCAATTTGCAACTCACAGCTCTAATATCTTACGCCATTCTTTTTAAATTTGGGCTTAAGGCTGACTGTTGTTTTATGATTTTCAGGGTACAGTGTTAAATTCATGGAAAGCAGTATGGGTGGTGCTGTCAGATGATGGTGTGGAATTCTATAAAAAGAAAACAGACCGTTCACCAAAGGGTATGATCCCACTGAAAGGAGCCACTCTCATCAGCCCATGTCAGGATTTTAGCAAGAGGCCGGTAAGAAAATGTCAAGTGCACTCATCTATTAGAAATTTTAATTTGTACTTTGATTACATGTGAGAATTATCAGGAATAAACTTGAATGAAGTACTAACATAGTGCTGATTTGAATACATTTTTCTGAATACATAAGATATTTTAGTATTCTAAATGTTTCTAACTGAGCATGCTTGGTTTAGCTGGTGTTCAAGATTACCACGGCGAAGAAGCAGGATCATTTCTTCCAAGCTTCCCATGTGGAGGAAAAAGAATTCTGGGTAAAGGACATCAAGAGAGCCATTACCTGCCTGCAGGGAGGGAAAAAGTTTGCCAGAAAGTCCACACGACGCTCCATTCGCTTGCCTGACACCATCAACCTCACGTATGTTCTCTGAAATAATCTGTTTTCAGGTTGAAGTAAATAACTTTTCTTCCCACTTGGAAAATTAACAGAATGGATAAGCTTGTAGGCCGAAGATTAAACATGTGACTGAAAAGTCCTGCATATAATATGCTATCGTTTAGTCTTCGCATAAGTGAGAAAAGATTCAGCACATGTTCAAACATCTGGAACTTGTCATGCTTGTTATCCTTTTTGACATAGGTGTATTACTATTGACTAAATGCTATATAAGGTGAGGTTTCAGCACACTATCAAATGCCAATCCATAAACTTGAAATAGTCTAAAAAATAAAAGCATGTATTTGTGCAGACAAAGACACAAAATATTGACATTTAAAGATAAAGATATTTAAAGGCACCTGTGGTTAAGACACGACTCAATTGGAACTTTCCCTGTTGGCCGTTTGATTTCCCTTAAGACCTCTGATCCCGAATCTTCATTCATTTGTCACATGGGACTTTTAAAGACACTTTTTCAAATAAATTGCCTGAAATACAGTGATAGTCATGTACAGTATGTGAATAACAACCAATAGACTGAATTAAATGAACATTTTGCCAGTGTTTGGGCTTAGTGATAGAAACAGAAGTGCAAGACAGACTGATCATACTTGCATTGTGTTCTCACAGCGAACTTTACACGCTGATGAAAGACCAGGACACAGGAGTGAAAGAGCTGACACTGGAGCAGGATAATCGAGTTTTCAACCACTGCTTCACTGGTACATTTCTCTTGGTTTTATTCATTTTACTGCAGTGGAGGAAGTTTGCTATCTTTTTTTTTTTAACCTTCCTTTGTTCTGAGCATTTTTCTCCGCTTCTCTATTTTTGCACAGGTGCAACAGCGGTAGAGTGGCTGATTTCAAAGGGAAAGGCAAGAAATAGACCTGAAGCCCTGGTCTTAGCAACGGGGCTTCTGAATGAGGGCTTTCTCCAGCCTGCCGGGGACCTGTCGAAAGAGGGAGCTGAGAGTGGAGAGCAGACAGCCTTCTTGGATCAGACCAAAGCTCTGTATTACTTTGTAAGATAATGAAAGCCATCATGTAACAAATATCAAAAGCTAAAGGTAGTATTGAAAGTTGAAAAACTGAATGTTAAGACTGTATGAATGACATTTCTTTGCATGGTCACGCTTTTAGGCAGACAGTGGGTTCTTTTCTGAAGGCTACTCCAGTGATGAAGATGTACTTGTCAAGGAAGAATTCAGAGGAAACATCATAAAGCAAGGCTGTTTACTTAAACAGGTAAAACACACCCTGAGCAAAATTAAAGAAAAAAAAACCCATTTATCTAATCAACTGTTATTTTGCTGAAAATCACCACGTACCGTGCATCTGGACAGATAAAAGTAACCTTCTAAGAGAAAGTCAGATTTTTATTTGTACAGGAATCAATTCATTGAATCGTTATGTTGTATTATTTACAATTTTCAATACAGGGACATCGGAGAAAAAACTGGAAAGTGAGGAAGTTCATACTGCGGGACGACCCTGCCTATATGCATTATTGTGATCCTTCAAAGGTAAACTGACAAACATGGGCAAACCTGTACTAGTTCAAAGTAAGTCAGTAACTCTACTTTCACCTCTTAATTTCAGGGGGATGACCCTCTGGGCTCAGTCCACCTCCGTGGGGCCGTGGTTACGGCTGTGGAGGATGTCCCTGATGGTGGGTGACGGCTCTTGCCTCCGGATGCACGTGTTGCCTCCTGGCTGTGGCCATGATAGATAACTTGTGTGTCCTGTCAGTACAGTCTCTTTTTCAAGTGAACTGTTTTAACTCTCCTTCTCACCATGTCTTCCTTGTTTCAGCAAAAAAGTATGACATTGAGGGAAACCTCTTTGAGATCATCACAGCTGATGAAACTCACTATTTCCTCCAAGCTGCAACGGCTGAAGAAAGAAAGGATTGGATCAAAGCGATACAGGCAGTGTCGAAAAGTGGAAAATAACAGAAGCTGTGAAAAAATAGGGGGGATGTTCTGCCAGCTACTGATGTAAGAAAACCGAATCAGTCAAACTTTCATCCCATTGTCTTTTATTGTAATTGTTTATATTAAGTAACTTTCAAGTTTGAATCCTGTACACATTGTATACTGACTGTTCATCTGATGTGTTTATGCATGATTGACAGTTTCACTTCATTAGAAAATAAAGATTAGATTAAACTAAGTGCACTCAGTAATTCCCATAAATGTTAATGTGTGTTTGCTCGTAAATGCTTGTCGTACTAAGGAGAATATTTTGGGAGATTTCAGTATTATATTTTTATACTCTCGATAATGATGAATATAAATGTGGCGGGGAGTGAAACTTAAAAACAGCTGTCTTTAAAAATATTGCAAACCTTAAAAAAGTGCCTTGCTTCAGAATCTATAATAAAATACAATGATGAAAGGTAGTTTCTGAGAGGAAGACGCTGTCATTTCAAGGCCGCTGTGGTTTTCTCATTTCCTCCTTGTTCACTTGTCAAAACTTTGAGATATGTGCTGCTATCGTCCAAACACAGTCAGTTCTTAAGTGTGAATCACAGTTTAACTGAATTACTTGGTAGCTCACAGGCCTGCTGCATTTGTGTGACAATGTATCTGTGACAGAAATGACTGGCTTGATCGACCGCATGACTACATGCAAAACTTAAGTGACAACTGAACAGACACACCATATAAGGATAAATGACAAGTTATCTCAACTAAGTTTCAGTGTTGAATTGTTGATGACTTTGCATGTGAAAAAACATGCTTACACACCAACACATATGTCTGTCTTGGTCAAACATATTTTCAAGAGAAAAAAAACATACATTAATCAGTGCTCCAAGCACGTTTTTCTTCACTTAATTTCATCAAATCAGTTTAATCAATCTCTGTGCAAAGCTCAGATGAATGTAAATATATGCATGCACATTTAAAGTACTTTAAAAGTCCAACACTGGAGGGCACTATATAGCAACTTAACATTGTAGCTTTGAGTTGAATAAGAATAACTGCATAGAATATCTTATTCCTCATGGTTAAAGGCCAAAAAATGATACATGAGAAAGATGACAAAATATAGATATGACAAACTATTAGAAAGCTGCACATGTGCTGGGAAATGTCAAGACAAAATCGCCTGAGAAATTTTGATAGCAGCAAATGCCAATAATATTTCTGAACAACACGTTCATAACATAGGAGCCTAATCATCAAAATAACAGCAACTCCCTAATTTCACATTTCGGATACATCAAGATTTTTGTTTTACCTAATTAGGACAATTAAATGTACGTTATGTATGCTATGTTGTATTTGTTAAATGTTTCCTAACACTTCAGTAGCACAGATATCTTATGTGTGAAACGGTGCAAAAAGCTGTGATAAAATAAAGAGGAAACAGGTGGTACACAACGCATTACACAGCCTCCCACCCTGTTAGACAATAGCAAACTAAGACTAAGAGATAGAGAGCAGTTTGTTATTGCCAAAAGTGGTGACAATAAACAACAGCAAACATGTCAATAATGTCACAGATCGAATGGTCATCCTATTTATTCATCTAACAAGAAAAAATAATTAGTGGAAATTTCCAAAATTCTCTGCAGTAATGACCAACTTGTAAGTACTATTATCTTAGAAGTCAATAAAAAACATTATAAACTGCAGGATCCTAAAAGTGAAGATATTTTATGTGTGTCTGGTTCATGTGATCTTATATTCTCCATCTAAGCAAATAAACAGCATGCACAAATAGAAGATAAAAAACTCACACTGATTTAATATAGGAGAAATACAGCTTATTAAAGGACAACACATCAGAAAACACTAAAAAAATATATTCTATCATTAAAATGGATCCATTTGAACAATCCTTTTCTTGAAACTTTTGTTCATTTGTCTCTATTTTTTTACATTATGCAAGAGCTATTCCATCGGAAATGCAGGGAGAAAACATTTAAGGTAATTCTGCAGCGCAAGAATGTAGAATTGGTTCTTTAAAAACACTGACAAATTGCCTTCTTGTCTTTATTGTAGCAGCTGTATAAAGAGGTCAATTGCTTCTCTTCTGCAGCTCTCACTTTTGAATTTTTAAGCAGATGAGAACACAACACAGATGGTTTCATTGACACAAAAAAATCCCCAGGTTTCTGGTGTCCTCTGAAACACATGAAATAATGATTTGTCTTAAAGCAGCATTGATGCCTTTTCAGCACACCGCTCGGGGGAATCAGTGTTTCAAGTTCCTAAAGTTGTTTTACACAGCCAGACAAATATGTTAATTTCAAGGATTTTGACTTAAAAAGCAGCACACACTAAAAGGTGACAAAACAAAGCTGTTGAGACCAACCACAGTTAACAGTCATGCCTCTAAGGACACTACAGACATTAAGCTTCTCACCAGAAGATAGATTAATTTAAATAACCTGCTTCTGCCAGAAGACTAAACAGGAGTGAGCAGCCTGCTCTTGTCTTGTTCGGCGTGGAATGGAAGTCTTTGGATTTGAATTGAAAGAATAGCCATACATTAATACCCCCTCTCTTGACTTTATTTTGCTATTTTTCGTTTTAATGCATCACCTATAATGTGTCCCTTGTGGCAGACATTCTGTTACTAGTTCATAAAGAAGCTAGTTCATAATCTAAAGATGATCTTTTTTTTTAAATTGAGTATGGATATTCAATTTTGATGGGATTCATTGCACCTTTCTCAAACGGGTGAAGGATACCGGCTCATTAAGAAGACCAGGACATAGTAAAGAACATGGAACCAACAAAAATAATTTTACTGACACGGAGGACAGAACAGCTGGTCCTGAACATTTAGCTGGAGGAGCTATGGCTAAAGAAGTTGGAGATCCAGAAGGTGTAGTATGACCATCAATAGGTACAATCATGCCGGTCACATGTTGCAGTAGAGCTGAAAGACATGGAGGTTCCTGATTACAGAAGCTTATCATCCATCAGTGACTCTAAGTTATATAGTGATTGATATGTTGTTGCTTTTCATGAGCCAAATATCAAAGAAATTATGTAATTCCTATATTTGAGATATGCAAACAAACTAGTATTCTCCGAAGTTTTCGAGTTGCATAGTCTTTCTATTTTCGGATGGCCTCACTAAAACATAAATGACAGAATGAATGCCCACACAAGACTGACTCCTCTCATACATATCATGGACGATTGAACTGCTCTCAAGTCAGGATTCATTAGTTATACATTTTGGGATGATGACAGCTTAGCTTGACCCTCATCTCATACAGTGAGTGTGGCAACTCAGCTCCTACTTCTTCGAACAAACAGAACGTCACTACACGTGCGTTTACTTTGTGAACATATCAATAAGGTTGTGGGGTAATTAAGTCTGCCATGTCTCTGAGAAATAAATGTGTAAAAAAACTTAGATTTTCTTTTGAATGTATTATCAAAGTAATATATAACCTTATACACTTGGTGATGAGTTCTGTAAAATAACTGGATGCCAGAATTGTTCTTCCTTCTGCATAAGCTTTTAAAAAAAATGTTATTAACATACTGTCATCTTGGTCAAGGATTTTGTTGCTGCTCTGTTAGCTTTCATTTGAGGAAAACACAATGACTTCACATCATTCATAAAACATTAGAATAACCCACACCTTATCAGTAACCTCCATGTTTTAGCTTACCGTATAGAAAATAAAACAATGCATTTGCAAAAAACAGTATTCCTGCAAGAAAATTAAATGAAAATGTCATGCCATTCTGCATTTTTTTTTATCAAGCTACAGGAAACTAAAGGAGGAACCAAGACATGTAGTGAAAAAGGAATGCATTTTTTCCAAGTTGGGGCAAAGGCAGAATCAAAGAGCTTGCAGTGTGTGTCGGAAGTCTCAAGGGAGATAACTGCCAACTGACAATCTGACAAATGTCGCATAATGAACCAGATGAGTGTGCACAGTAGGTTGGTTGAGGAAGTGATTGCAGCAGAAGCAGAGAAAGTCGATTCATGGGCAGGTGGGAGTGGCTTTGTCTAAAATAGATGTGGAAACTCTAAACATAATGAAAGATCCACACTTTGAATGTTAGTGTATGGATATACAAGACTGGTTTGAAATCCAATCATTAAAGAAATGAATGTGGTATCTTCCTACTTTTGATCCTCTTTACCCATTACTGAGCATAGTTCATAGTTATATCTACCCCAAATATACTGTAAGTTATTTTACACACCCACCTACATGCTTATTGTACATTTGCTGTGGTGTCCTGTTGTTTAAACTACAAGAATCTGCAGTGATGTGTGTCGTTGCAGTTTGTGTGTTCCTGTGCTTGTCTCTTTGCGGGTGGTTGTGATGACCAGACGTGTCAGACATTTAATGCTCTTTCTTATCAAAACATAGACAGATCAGTCAGTGCCATACCAGGGGAGACAATTTCTTTTTTTTTTATCCCTCTTGAAAAAGGCAAGCTTTTTCTAAAGCCAGC